CTTCTTTATGATAAATAGGAAACTCCATTGTTAATTACTTTCAAGTTTCTTGAATTTGTTGTATTGCTAATTTGTGTTTAAGGTTTCTGTAGATACCCAAATAATTATTCAGAAATATTTACGTTTTACATCTAGTTTTTTTGATCTGTTCTGAATCTTGTATTCGTATTCCTTTATGGGTTTTCGCTATCTTGTTGTTCATCTTGTTTTTGATTCTGTTCATCTCGTTTTTGATTCGTGCCTTCTTTATGATAAATAAGAACTCCATTGTTAATTACTTTCAAATTTCTTGAATTTGTTCTATTGCTAATTTGTGTTTAAGGTTTCTGCAGATCCCCAAATAATTATTCAGAAATGTTTACGTTTTACATCTCGTTTTTTGATAAGTTCTGAATCTTGTATTCGTATTCCTTTATGGGTTTTCACTATCTTTGTGTTCATCTGGTTTTTGGTTCTGTTCATCTCGTTTTTGATTCGTGCCTTCTTTATGATAAATAAGAAACTCCATTGTTAATTACTTTCAAGTTTATTGAATTTGTTCTATTGGTAATTTGTGTTTAAGGTTTTTGCAGATCTCCAAATAATTATTCAGAAATATTTACGTTTTGCATCTGGTTTTTTTGATCTGTTCTATATCTTGTACTCGTATTCCTTTATGGGTTTTAGCCATCTTTTTGTTCATCTGGACTTTGATTATGTTCATCTGGTTTTTGATTCGTGCCTTCTTTATTATAAATAGGGAACTCCATTGTTAATTTCTTTCATGCTTTCTTGAATTTGTTCTATTGCTAATTTGTGTTCAAGGTTTCTGCAGATCCCCAAATAATTATTCAGAAATATTTACGTTTTACAACTCGTTTTTTGATCTGTTCTGCATTTTTTTTTCGTATTCCTTTATGGGTTTTTCACTAACTTTTTGTAATTATTGTTTTTGATTCCCTTCATCTAGTTTTTGATTCGTGCCTTCTTTATGATAAATAGGACACTTCATTTTTAACTTCTTTCAAGCTTTCTTGAATTTGTTCTATTGCTAATTTGTGTTCAAGGTTTCTGCACATCCCCAAATAATTATTAAGAAATATTTACGTTTTACATCTGGTTTTTTTGATATATTCTGACTTATGTATTCGTATTCCTTTATGGGGTTTCACTATCTTTTTGTTCATCGGGTTTTTGATTCGTGTCTTCTTTATGATAAATTGGAAACTCCATTCTTAATTTCTTTCAATCTTTCTTGATTTTGTTCTATAGCTAATTTGTGTTTAAGGTTTCTACATATCCCAAAATAATTATTCAGAAAAATTTACGTTTTACATCTGGTTTTTTTGATCTGTTATGAATCTTGTATTCGTATTCCTTTATGGGTATTCGCTATCTTTTTGTTCATCTCATTTTTTTATTTTGTTCATCTTGTTTTTGATTCGTGCCTTCTTTATGATAAATAGGAAACCCCATTGTCAAATACTTTCAAACTTTCTTGAATTTGTTCTATTGCTAATTTGTGTTTAAAGTTTCTGCAGATCTCCAAATAATTATTCAGAAATATTTACGTTTTACATCTGGTTTTTTTGATCTGTTCTGAATCTTTTATTCGTATTCTTTTTATGGGT